TTGACCTACCTGCTCCCCTACTTTTGTTCAGCTTTACTTTGCCCTTATCAAGAACCCTGACTTTCTCCCTCCTCTCCAGTTAAAAAAACCCCAAAATAAACAGCACCACTACCAAGCCGTAAATATTTCTTGTCTCCCTTTTTAGGTAGCACCTCCTTTGAGGCAGCAGAGTTTAGTGGTGACTCTGCCTTTATCCTGATTAAAAAAAACACACCAAGAAATGGTACCAAGGCCTCTATGCCCCTGAATGCTTTAGGTGGGATTGATGAGCAGGGTTTTCTGAGCAGGAAAAGGGAATTGGCCAAGGATTACAAACTGGAACATAGTGATTTCCGTCTTTGTTTTGGCTTGGGCGAATTAGCTTGGGCAATCCTATAACTTGGTCCCAGCATTTTAGCAATTGTCTTCTTCCATAGAGTGTTTTTTAAATTGTTTGTTAATTCTAAGTCTGACTCTAGGAAAATCACAGGGGAGCTTATTATTATTATTATTTTTAAAGAAAGCCTGAGTACACAGTGATTTCTCTTGGTCACTTCCCTTGATGGCTATTTCCAGAGAGTCCAGTCTCCCTCGGCTACCTCTGCTCTCTCTGATTCTAGGAAATCTATCCTCTCCTTCACTTTAAGTAACCAAACACATGAGAAAGACCAGAGCTGGATGGAGGAATATGATGACTTCAGTCAGATAAGGCCGATTTTCTTTCTTCTAGGGCTTGCCACCATGCTAGATTCAAATTCTTCCCCTTCAAATTGATTTCCTACTTATAATTTACCTTTTCCCTACTTCCTGAGCCAGGGCCTCCCAGAGAAATCCCTGAAGACATTCCTTTCTGGAGCAAGATAAGAAGCTATTAGGGACCCTCCTTTACTTCAAATCCACCTATGAAAAGTCTGAAAGAGATGAGTGGCCCTGCCCCAACTCCCCAAGCCAATCAGGGTGGTTCAAACAATGACCTAACTTTTCTTCCTCAAGCCTTCTTCTGATTGGTCACAGCAGGGCCCTGTGTCTGCTGACTTTGGAAAATAGCAGCACCCGGCAAAGCTTATTTTTAATACCTTTCTGTAACATTCCAAGGGCAGAAATAACAATCCTCCTCCTCAACATAATGCCACTTCTCCAAGTGAACACTGGTTTATGGTTTGAATGCATGGGCTTAGAACTTTCCCTGGGACCTATCACAGGCCCCTCAGTCCAGTTGCAGGCAACAGAGTCCTTTGGAAGGTGTGTTAAAAGCCCAGGGCCAGGCACAGTGAGGCATGCGTTACCTAGGACCTGGGGGAAACTAATGGCCTAGAGTGAAAGAGTTTGGAAACTGAGATTTGGGGGTTATGATGCAGCCTTACTGCAAATCAGAAAGACTGCCTCTGGGACTCTGAGAAAGTTCCAACTTTCTCCAGGTTAGTGAGTAGTTGTTTCATAGATGACAGTTGGCTGTCTCCTCTATATCTCTTCCGAGGTCTCATCAAAGGAATTGGGCTGACCTTGCAGTACAAGAAGTTTATATCAGGATGAAAGAGTCTATTAGTGAGGCTCTCAGAATCTCCTTGTGAACAATGGTAGATTCTATCAGGTTTTAGCTGCCTAGCCTTCGGAGATCCCTTCTGGCCCAAGATTTGGATGGACCCATGCTGCCGTGGAGTGAAGAGGTGGTTCATATTGATCACATTGTCTTCTAGTTGGAAATCAGTCAGTCAGTCAGTCAGTTAACAAGCATTTATTAAGCACTTACTATGTGTAAGTGCTATGTGTCTTACTATGTGTCAGGCACTGTGCTTACCACTGGGAATGCAAATAGAAGCAGAAAGACATTCTCTGCCCCCATGGAGCTTACATTCTAATGGGAGAAGACAACACATAAAAAGGAACTGAAAGAGTGTGTGTGTGTGTGTGTGTGTGTGTGTGTGTGTGTGTGTGTAGCATCAGGAGAAAAGGTAGTTGGTATTCAGGAATGGCAGAGAAAGTCCTGTAGAGATGAGTCAGCTAGAGAAGGATGGAGGCAGAGGTCTTCTAATCTAAATTGTAATTCAGCAGGAATACCCTATTATACAATCCCTGGCAAGTCAGTGGACTTGTGTTCAAATCCTGGCTTTGCTGCTTACTAGTTGTGTGTGACTGGGCAAATCGCTTCATCCTCAGGGCCTCAGTTTCCTCATTTGTAAAATGAGGGGGTTGGACAGTTTTAAATTCTGCGATCTCTTCCCAGACATTTCTAAACCATGTTGACTCTCCCTTTGGGCTCCTGTCTTAGTCTCTTTCCCATCTGATCCTAGACTCTGCCCTTGGAAGTCTAGGCTTTGAGAGGGGAGCTTCTGCCTAATTTTGCCTATACCCAGGCCACCATGACACTCCAGGTCATGTTCATATGATGTGCTTTCCCACACATACTCCCCTCCTACTTTCTAACTTGCCTTGATGTCTTAGCATCTCCCTCATTAGAATGTAAGCTCCCTGTGGGTCAAGATTGGCTTGCTTCCTTGTATCTATATCTGCAGACATTAATTAGCATGGTGCCTGCTACAGAAGCATGCAATAAGTAAGTTCATTCATTTTATGGCTCATTGGCTAGAGTGATGGTCAGCAGTTGAAGGACCATATGTCAGGAAGCTGAAAATATTCCTAGTAATTCTTACCTAATCTTGAAGACAGAGGAATCCAGGTAAGGAGCTGCTGAAGAAAGGAAAGGGATGGAGTAGAGGTAGTTTAGGTGGGTGGAAGAGGAGGAAAAAAGAATTATTTGAAGAGTGTTGAGATAGGACACATTCAATCCTCCATTCATTACAAGACTTCCACCAGCAGATCTGGGATTTCAAGGGGCTCTTGAACTTGTGTGGGAAAAGCAATACATCTTGATTTTCACTAACCTTCATGAACTATGATCCAGCCAAGCTATTCCCTGTACATGACGCACCATCTCCTGACTGTGTGCTCCCCTTTGAATGCTCCCCCTTCTCCCTTTTGCCTCTTGAATCCCTGGCTCCCTTCAAGGATCCAGCTGTGTGATCCTGGACAAGTTACTTAACCTCCGTTTGCCTCAGTTTTCTCATCTGTCAAATGGGGATAATAAGAGCACCTGCCTCCCAGCGTTGCTGTGAGGATAAATGAGTTAATATTTGTAAGGGACTTTGCAAACCTTCAAGCACTATATAAATGTTATTGTGGTTGTTATGATCATGATTATGATTACTAAAGGTGTTGCCTGATTTCCCAAGTTGTTAGTGTTCTCTATGATTTTGTGTCTGTTTTGTGTTTATTTAACTATAACTTCTTGTATCTGTCTCTCTTCTCCCCCCTCTCAGTAGAACATAAGCCCCTTGAGGCCTGGGATTATTTAGTCATTTTTTTCCTAACTATTTGCAGAACCTAGCACAGTGCATAGAACATAGTGGGCACTTAATTATTTTTTATCACATTGAGTTGAATTTTCTTTCATATTTATGTTTGTATTTCCTAGGAACTTGTCTCCCCCTGGTCCTACTTCCAAGTCCTTTGGAGAAAAGGCAGACATTACCACCTTTCTATATCTCTTGTCTTGTTGGTTCCTTAGAGAAAGCCCTTAAGGCCGTCTAAGGGTGAATAAGAAATAAATCATGTAATTAAGCTGAGGTCAGATTTATTGTCACCCCATACCTGGTCATGAAGTGGTGAGTGAATCCCTGTTTGAGATGATAGGTGGTATAATGTAAATTGGATGCAGTGGATAGAGAGCCAGCTCTGGAGTCAGGAAGACTCCTCTTCCTGCATTTGAATATGGTCTCAGATACTTACTTACTGTGTGACCCTGGGCAGGTCATTTAACCCTGTTTGCCTCAGTTTCCTCATCTGTAAAATGAGCTGGACAAGGAAATGGCAAACTATTCCAGTGTCTTTGCCAAGAAGACCCCAAATGAGGTCAAGAGTTGTACACGACTAAACAACAACAACAAATACAAATTACTTCTCTTATTTAGAATTCCTAACCTGTTCATAAATAATAGCAAAATTTATTGATTTAGGGGAGATTTAAGAAAGGCAGCAGGTCAGGGTATAAAAGATCAGGGGAAAATCAGTCATCCCATGGTCCTTCCCCACCAATCCTGAAGTGACAGCCTCATTCAGTGTCATTGGCTCTATGCCTCGCTTCCAGAAGTCTAAGGTACTCCACTGAGTATACCTGACATCAGGTATAAATAATGGCACACATGCCTGCCATACACTAATCTGGGTCTCATGACTCCAGGAATTTTCACTGGCTGTCCCCTGTGCCTAGAATTTTCTCCCTACTCATCTCTACTTCTGGCTTCTTTCAAGTTCCAGTTAAAATACCACCTTCTCCGTGAAGCCTATTCTGATTCCCCCTCAGGTCTGGGGCCTTCTCTCTTGACCATTTCCAATTCATCCTATAGATAGCTTATTTACACCTAATTGTTTGCACATTGAATCCCCCATTAAACTGTGAGTTCCTTGAGAGCCGGTCTCTCTTTTACCTTTTGGCACATCCCCAGAGCTAAGCATGGTGTCTGGCACCTACTATTCAGTTAATAAATATTTATTGATCGACTGACTGACATTTTGGCCTTACTTCTATCCTGGCTTTTAAAACTCAACTTGGGCCATGAAGTATGTGACATATTTTGGCTGCCAACATTGAGTAGAGTGGGTAATAAAATAACAAATATCTGGGTCTCTGGCTGCCATGTGCCAAGATCCCAAAGCAGCTGCTGGCGTCAGCATGTGTTATTAAGCTTTGAAGCACTTTAAATTTCTCAGTAAAATAACTTGAGAAAACAAACCAGAGAGATCCGTCAGTCTGGAGTCCATGGAACAGCATCTTTATTATATTATATATGATAATCTATTAAATAAAAATGGGAAGGTGAGTGACACAGATCAGGAGTTCTTTTTTGGGGCTCTATCCATTTTCAGAAGAAGCAAATCATTTCCACAGTCTGATTTTGTAAGACACATAGGAAATCCAAATGGATTGGGAAGTTAGAGATCCTTTCAGAATTCTTCAATCTTTGTTTTTTTTTTTTTTAAAGGAAACTAATCTTAGGCTAGCTTATCCATGAAAGCCCATTCCTATGATGAAATCCCAATTCCGTATTCTCTTTTCCTCTATCATGGATGAAAGGGTGTGGCAGTGAAAGTTAATGAACACATTACTGGTTCCTCAGTATCTAGTATGGTGCTCTGTCCACAGAGGTTTCTTAAAACTTATTGACCAACTGGTTGAGTGTCTAGAGAATGGCATAAGGATGACTTCTAGAATATCTTAGCTTTCAAAATTTCCTAGTAAAAATTATCCAGGAAAACTATGTAGAAATGGGGCAAAAAAATGTCGCTGTATATGGCAAATTCCAAATGGGCACAACCCAATGACCATTTTATTGTGACCATAATGTTCAGAGCAAGGAGCTAATAAGGTTAAGGCTATTTGGGCCAGCTAGCTTTGCTGTATTCATTGGATTCTGGTTTTTGATAGGGGAAAAATGTGTATATTGATTTTGTATGTAGAGGTAAGGGAGGCTTTCAGAGGTTTTTCTGAGTTAAAAAAAAAAGGTTTGGATTATATCCAAACAAATTCAATGTATAAAAACTGATTACCTAAAACTTACTTTCAAGAAGAACTTTATTTTTTTTTTTAACATTTCCCTCTATATTTCTTCAATTATTGGCTGCCACATGGAGTTTTGAATCTTTGAAAGGACGTTATATATTTTACATTTTCAGTTAATGAATAGGTAGGTCATCCCAATACATTTGCACCATAATTTGTGGTCAAAATAATCAGTCAGATCTGTCTCTATAGTATCCTAATTGATGGCTATTTAGAAATCTTTGTCCTTAGAGTCTAGCATGCACTACGCCTGGCACCTAGGTGATTAATAAATGCTTGTCGAATGGGGTGGAATGGAATGAAACTGATGTATCTGCCTCTATAATGGGTTGGTTTGACCATAAGTTATGGTCAGAATAATTCTTGGAAATGTTCTGCTGCTTTGTGGGTAAATGCAGCTCCAGAGTAGGATATCCCAAAGTGCGGGCCTAGAACGTTCCTTTAATACCTGGTTATTAGATAGAGTTCCTTAGGGCTTGGGCCACTGCTGCTTAGGAAAGGAGCAGACAGTGCAGTTACCCTATAAGCTGTGGGACAGATGCCTAATTGCTTCCCTGGAGAGTCCAAAACTATGCAGACATGAGCATCTTGGTATTTTGAAGCAATTAACTGCTCCCCATTCCCCTAAGAACACACTGAAAAAAGAGTATTATATTAATTAGGAAAGAGACTCTGAGGACAGATCTAGGGAGACAAAAACAGAGCTGACTGAGATAAACAGAGTCAGGCATAGACATCGAGAGGTATGAACACAGATATCTCCCCCCTCTCATCCCCCAAAAAATCATAGGGAAAGAGATTGAAAGAGAAAAGTGAAGGAAAGCATCTCAGCTTATGAGATGTTCCATTTTCTCTAGGAAAAACAGAAAGAACAATAGTGTATAACAAGGGATACAGGGACAGAGAGATAGAGACAGATATGGAGAGAGACAGACAGACAGAGAGACACAGAGAGACAAAGAGAGACAGAGAGACAGAGACAGAGACAGACAGATATTGACGTTGCTTTTCTGAGCCAGAGCAAGATAGAGCTGTGGAGGTTGGAGCAGAGATATGTAGCATTTTTTGATGGTGAGTACTTTCTTCCTTCCAGCCTACTACTATTTCTCTGAAAATGTTATTTGGCTTGGGTATTCAAAGTTTCATTTATCCCAAGATTTATGGAAATCCAGACCAGACTTTTATCATTATCAAATCACAGTCCTTAGAGTCAAACTTGAGATAACCAAATTCAAGGCCTCAAAGACTTGCTTATCTTGAGGTCAGTCTTGGAGCAACTTCAACCCTTTAGAAGATAGCAATGAACTTGGAGGTGAGTCAAAAGGATCTCTTTGCTGCTGAAATAGCTATTTACAGAGTCCTTGAAGGAGGTACCTACTCAGAAAATTGACTGACTTACCCAGCACGCAATTCTGACAGAATGAGTTATGTGATTTCCTGGCCTATAGCAAGTTAGAAATAACAGGTAGCGAGGGAAGGATATAATAGGAAAAAAGTACAAACAGATAGCCTGATGGTCAGGGAGGAGACAGAACAATTTAAAAACCAAACGCAAAATTAGCAAAACATGGCAGCCTGGGAACATTTAGTGGAGGGGCAAATATCCCTGCACTCCTCATAGCCCCCAGAGGGGATTATCACATTACAGAATACAGTACAAAAATTGATGATCATAATGAACTATAATGAATCATAGAGAAAAATTTAAGTTATTTTCAATATGCTATGTTTAAGAAGGCAGGGAAGTATTTAATACCTTTCAGAAAGATTTCTATAGAAAAGGGTTCAATATAAAAGACATGGCAGGTGAAGGGGGATCTTTTAATTATCTGGAAAATTGACTTGTATCTACTTCCCTCTTTTATGATTCTAGAAATTAAGGTGTTACTGTATTTTGCTCTAGTCCAGACTTAGATAGGGTCAGATCTCAAAATTGCTGGTATTTTATCTGGCATATATTTGGTGGCTTTTGTGGAAGAAGTTGAGAAACATATCAATTGATTAACATATTGTTTATTGTTCTAGTGTCTCTATTTCCTACCAATGAAAATGTGGAAAAAGAGGTCCTTTTAATCTTATTTTTCAGCTAATTAGCACCAAAGAAGAGGGACCAGTTCCTCTTCTCAACACTTGTCCAGTCTCCTTCTCCTACTTTGTACTCAGTCTAGAGTAGTTTCTCTTGTCTGTTATCTTCCACATGCCACTGAGGGTGAGCCATTTTATCCTTGGAGGTATCTTAAAAATACTGGCCCATAGAATTTTAACCTGAAGCCCACATGTTTGTTGGAAATAGTCTGGGGTAAAGGAAGACAGGGTTATTTTTTCCCCTATTTTTGGATTGCTACCTCTCTTTCCAAGTAGAATGTGTTTCTGGGTTATTGTGTGACAAGCTAGGAAAAGCCATGGGTTGCTGACCTCTCCCCCTCCCCCTCAGTGTTCCAGGTGTCTCTCATTGGGAATGCTTGGGCCCAGAAGACCTCATTAAGTCATGTCTCAGAGCTTGGAAGAGGCTAAGGAGAGACTGGGCCCATATGTCTTTCTGGAACCCTTGGGCCTGGGCTGTTCTATAGGCCGTATAGGCTAGGGTTAGTGCTGTTCGTTCAAAATCTTCCCTCTTAAGGACGCCAATCCACTCAGAGAGGTGGGCACTCAGCCGTCGAATGTCTGTGATGCTCTTGGGGATGACTTCATTGCAGATGGTGTTGAAGTCAGAGGCCTTCCGAAGGGAGGAGAGCTCCTCATCTTTGATGGAGATCTTTAGGTCTTGGCTAATCTCAAGTTCAGCTAGAAGAAACTGGTATGAGAAGTAAAATAGGGGAAAATGTTTTAGTCTGTTATTGGTAAAGACATAACTGAGTTCCTTATTAAGCATTCATCATTCTCATTCTCATCATCATGCTTCTCTTTGTCTTTTAGAAAGTCAGGATTTTTTGAGGTGGAAAGGGGAAGCAGCTGAGGTACAGAGAGGTCAGAAATGATCTGCTCAAGTTCATGTAGGTAGTTTGTGGCCCAGGCAGAATTAGAACCCTGGTCTCTTGACTCCCATTTCATTGGTCTTTATACTATATTGCTGCTGAGTATACAGGATCCCTATCTAATAACAGTAACAGTAGTAACAGCTGACTTAAGGTTTGCAAGATGTTTTATATACATTATTTCATTTGAGCCTAGAAATAAATCTATGACAGCCTTAGTCAATTAACAACCAAACACATACTGAACATTTACTAAATAAGTGCTAGGCTCTGGGGAGAAGGGGGGAAGGTAATCCTTAAACTTTCCCTTTTCAGGGGCAGCTAGGTGATGCATTGGATAGAGCACTGACCTTGAAGTCTGAAGGACCTGAGTTCAAATTTGGCCTCATATACTTATTAGCTGTGGGACTCTGGGCAAGTCACTTAACCCTGATTGCCTCAAAAAAAAAAAAACAAAACCCTTGAAACAACTTTCTTTTTTCCACATCTCTGCTACAGTTTCCCCGGTCCTCTTAACTTCTGACAGAAATCTTGGTGATATCAAATGATTTGTCCAAGGTCCATACAACTGACAATAAGGATTAGAACTCTGTTTTGTTTTGTTTTGTTTTTTTTTTGGTTCCAAGTTCAATGTTAAAGTACTAGGCAGAATTTTTATTAGAAAATGTTTTGTTGAGGGTTTTTCTTATCTTTTTAAAACAGTATTATTTCCCAGTAACTGCTCTTCCCCATAAAGGACCTTCCCTTATGACAAAGAAATACAGATAAGCAAAACAAATGTCCATGTTGACCATGTCTACTCTCATGCACCAGTTATCTGCTACCTTCTACTGAGAGGAGGGAGACTTGTTTGTCTTCAGTCCCTGAGAGTCAAGATTGATCATTTCATTGATCTGAATGTTGATACATTTTAATATTGTTTTCCTTTACATTGTTGTGGTAATTGTTTAAATTCTTCTCTTGGTCCTCCTTCCTGTTGCACTTTAGGGAGAGTTTCCAGAGCTTAGATCATTGCTGTCGCCTCCTTGACAAAAGGGCAGTGCCCTCTGAGGGTCTGGGGTCCATAGCCTACCTCATAGAGTAGCTCTACTTCCTCTAGGGAGTTCTGCAGCACCAGATTGGCTGGGCCTGAAGACGATCTCTTAGACCGGTGAGCCGAAGGGAAGAGCACCGCTGAAAGTGAAAAAAAAAATACAAAGGGTTTCAGGGACAGGGATCTCAAGGTGATGGACATTAACCAGGTAATTTTGACATTAGTCAATATACTAATGTCAGAGGTTGGATATGTGAGGGAAGGATGACAGACAGACTCTTTTGGTAGTAAGCACCTAGTTATTACATATAACATGTATAGTTATTATATAACTATACATATTATATATAATTATATGTAATATAGAACTGTATATTATTATATAATCATATCATATATTATATGATATCTAGTTATCTATAACTACATTATTATATATAATATATTATCTATAACTATATTGTTATATATAATTATATTATATATAACTATATCATTATATAACTGTATATTATGTCAGCTATATTATATTATATATGTATTATATATTATTATATAAAACCATATATAGTTATTGCATATTATATAGTTATTGCATATTATATATAACTATAACTCTCTATATAACTATAACTATATATGTAAAACTCTATATAACTCTGTGTGTGCATATCTATCTATCTGTCTGTCTATCTCTCTACCTAACCTAGCATGTTCTCCCTTCCCCTCAAATAGCACCTACCTCCTAGGATTGTTGTGAGGATGAAATGAGATAATGTTTGTAAAGTGCTTAGCATAGTAACATCGTAGGTGCTATAGAAATGCTATCATTATTATTATTATTACTATTATTATTAGGCTTTTTCCTTTGAGTTGCTCTTCTAAACCTTAGAAGAGCAACTCAAGGGAAAAAGTCTAAGAAGCAAAGAGAGTTCAGATTGTGGAATAGCTTCACAACACCCAGGCCTGATGTCCCTTCAGGGCGACACCTCTCATGCCTTGGATGCCTTGGGACCAAAGCTGTCTGTCCACGCTGCTCCTTAGTTTTTCCTGGGGCCTCCTTTTCTAGCTCAGCATTTTATCTGGACTGACGCTCTCCCCAGCTGTCCTAGGAAGGAGCCAGTTTTTCATTTTCCATTGATTTACTGTCCATTCTTGATGATCCTCCAGGTGGGAAGTCAGGAGCACTAGGTTTTTGGCCAAGGGCTGGCTTCCAATAAAAGGAGATTTGATGTCCAGGGCTGTCTAGAAGCTTATGCCAATGGGCAGACTGGTTGCTCAGAACATTAGCAGGATTCATAACTTCAGGCTATGGTGTTCCGGGACACTGCCTTCCAGAGCAGCATTTGGCCCAAGGCTCACTGGAGACCAAAGACCCTTTCTTTATTTAGGATTTTAATGGTGTAACTGACAGGTAGGAATTTCCACACTGGCCTTTTCACAGAGTAATCAGAGTGGATCTGTAACCTTAAGTAACAGAGCTGACATTTGTACAGAATTTTAAGGTTTTTACATTTGTTACCTCATTTGACTGTTCTCATTTTGTGTCTCTAATGATAGAGCCAAGCGCAGTGCCTGGAAGATCCTGATTTTTTTTTTTTTTAATTCCTCTGAGATTTACGTGAGCAAAGTAAACAGGAGGGTCTTCCAGATCAGGAGGTATGTCCTGTCCATCCTGGCATTGACTGGCCACCTTTTTGGTATTTTTATAGTCATTCTTTTCTTTCTTTCTTCCTTCCCAACCTAACAACTTGGCACCACTGAGCATGTGCTTCTCTCCTGTCCTATGGAATTCAGTCAGTCAGCTGATTTATAGGGGATAGAAGGCAAAGTCACTAAATCTTTTCTATGCCATCTTTTTCATAAAGTCTTATCTACTACAGCAGGGTGTCTCAGTGGATTGAATGTTAGACCAGGAATATGGCAAGACCTGAGTGCAAATCTGACTTCAGTCACTTACTAGCTGTGTGACCCTGAGCAAGTCACTTAACCTCTGTCTGCCTCAGTTTCCTCATCTGTAAAATTAAGATAATAACAGCAGCTAGTTTGAAGAGTTGTAGTGAAGGTTAAATGAGATAATATTTGTAAAGGGCTTTGCAAACCTTTTAAGAGTTATATGAATACTGGCTGTTATTACCATAGCTATGAACTTGGCTTCCAGAAACATCTCTGGGAAGCAGCAGCCTTTTTGCAGGGGAATAATAGCATGACAGGGAGATTGAGAGATCTTGTCTTCTGGGTAGAGGTGGGAGTTTTTAAAAAAATAAGATGTTATGGATATCTTTTGTTTTTATATTATTTATATTTCCCACTGTATTTGCCTCCCATCCCTTTCAGAGAGCTATTCCTGGGGCAGCTAGGTGGCCCAGTGGATAGAGCACCGGCCCTGGATTCAGGAGGACCTGAGTTCAAATGCGGCCTCAGACACATAACACTCAATAGCTGTGTGACCCTGCGCAAGTCACTTAACCCTATTGCCTAACCAAAAAAACAAGATAAAAAAATTTCAGAGAGCTATTCCTTATAATAAACTGAGTAAAGTTGGATGACATATGCAGTAATAGGGTCACAGGAAACCAAAGCTCTTCTTTAGAGTAACATAGAATCACAGAATTCTAGAGCTGGGAAGGGGCTGGGAGATCAGCCACTGAGGTCTTCATTATAGTCCATGAAGAAATTGAAAGTGATCAAATTTGTGACTTACATGTCCTAAAGTTACAAAGCAAGCAGGAATGTACTAAAGAGAGCTGATTGTTAAATTTTCATTGTGAGCATTTACAGCTCAGAAATCAGCAAATGTTTCAAAGCAGGGCTTGATTTATTGTTGTGTTAAGTTTCTAGACTTTAGAAAGTGCTAGAGAAAATGTTAATATGCAGCTTAAACTTAAAAGTGTCTGTACTCTTTTTTTTTTTCCCGCAGAAAGCCAAAGTTGTTAAATATTTACCGGCACACACCATTGAAGCTTGTAGATCTGGGACCAGAATTCTAGCTTATTAGACTTCTGGTACAACATACTTTCCATTATACCTGTGACATCAAATTCAAATAGAAAAAGGGCCACTAACCTATACAGAAGTATTCTTCTGAGTTACATATTGGCTTTGTTTTAAAATGTAAATTATCTGCATTTTATTATGTTTTTATTTATTTTGTTGAATATTTCCCAATTACATTTTAATCTGATTCAGGTCTCTCTGTCTCTATCTCTCTGTCTCTGTATGTCTCTTTCTCTGTGTCTCTGTCTCTTTCTGTCTCTGTTTATTTCTGTCTCTTCTCTGTGTCTCTCTGTTTCTATGTCTGTCTGTCTCTTTCTGTCTCTGTCTGTCTCTTTCTGTCACTCTGTCTCTAAGTTGAACAGAACCAATATGCCATGAGAAAGTAGCTGGCTTGGTGAGTGGGTGGGTGAGAAGACAGAAGATAGGTAAACTTAGAGACTAGCCTGGAGAAAGCAGGTTGGTGTGGGTAACACAGAGTTGGGAATGGTTTAGCGAAGTGACCATAGATTACTGGGGGTGTGTGTGAGTGCATGTGTGTGTGTGTGTGTGTGTGTGTGTGTGTGTATGTATGTGTGCATGCATGTGCATACCCACCAATGTTTTTGCATGCATGTTGTCTTTTCTCGGAGAAGAGATCCTGGGTTACCAGGGGAAAAAAATAGAAGAACTCCTTTCAGAATTAGAGATTAGTTGAAATTGATTAAATTGAACCATATTATCTCCTAGGTGACAACCCAGGGAGATGGGCTGACAGGGAGCATACTGCATGTGATCGGCCCAGCAGCCAGGGCTGATGTGGAGAAGATCCCTGAGTGGGGCAGCAGATTGGACCCCATGACTTCTGAGGCTCCTTCCAGCCCTAAGATTCCTTGGATCTGGGGGGTTTCACGGGTTGGTGCTTTTTAATTTCCTGATGCCACCCAACGAGCCCCAGGCTCCTCGGGGCTGTCTCTGATTCAGTTGCAACATGTGTATATAATGGAAAAGAGAGTTTGGAGGCTTTGTAAGATGGAGAAAATACCAGAACAAATTGACTTTTCTGCAAGTGAGGGAGAGGGGATTTCTGTTGTACTTAGGCACCTCTCAGTTCTATATAATTGAAGAGGAAGAATGCCCAGGCTCCCCTTAGCCTCTCTCTCTCTCTCTCTCTCTCTCTCTCTCTCTCTCTCTCTGTCTCTCCCTTGCGTTCACTTCTGCCCATTACTCCTAGGATCAAATAAAGAAAAATCTTCACTTTGGCTTTTAAAGTCCTTCATAACCTGGTCCCTTCCTTGCTTTCCAGTTTTCTTAACACTTTGCTCATTTCTATGTATGTTACAATCCAGTGACCTCTACCTTCTTATCTGCTATTCCTCCCCCAGGACGCTCCTTCCTTGGACTCCATGCCTTGGACTGGCTGTTCCTTATTCCTTGAACATCACGTTCCCTCATCTCCACCGCTTGGCCTTCCTGACTCTCCATAAGACTCAGCTTAAATCCCACCTTCTGTTTTCCTGGTCCTCCCCATGCTAGTTCCTTCTCTCTGGGGTTACCTTCCATAGACTCTCTCCACACACAGTTGTTTGCACATTGTCTCCCATGCTAGAACGTGAGCTCCTTGAGGGCAGTAAGTGTTTTTGCCCTTCTTTGTATCCTCATCACTTAGCACATTGCCTGGCACAAAACCGGTGGACTGATTGACCCCTTTAAATCTTCCAACCTTTGGCTTCTTCATATCATCTTAGCTCTAAAGCTTGGGGTGGTGGGCAGGTCACAAGCTCCCTCCCTATAGAGGTGGATTATAGACAGAGTAACAAAAATAACCCCAAGGGCTTCAGGTAACTTGTAGAGCAACTTGAGGCTGGAATGATCCCTGGGTCTGTTTTCCATCAAGGGATCTTTAGACTAGGCCTCTCTCAAGGTATTAAGTAAAGGTTTAGCAGGTTCTGTGCCTGGGTGTGTGTTCTGTACACTTTACTCCTTAGCCCAGAGTGTGCTCTCAGCGCAAGCTGGTGACTAACTGACTAGTAATTCATTGCTCTGTCATTTTCTTTGGCTCCTTTGGGCTTTTCTCTCTTATATTTCAGAAAAAGAAACAGCCCAGTTGTCTTTCCTGTTGTCAGTTTGGCTCCACATGTCTGTACACTTGCTGCTTTCTGTGATT